ACTTAGATTCAGTTCCATCGGTTGGTGATCCGATTCTGTCCTTGTCCCTATCTTAAAATCACTTATTTCTCTCAGTACTTTTTTATTTACTATTGTGTTACCGACCTCCCTCCTCCTCCCATGCATGTGGATTGCCCGAGTCCCTCCATATTTTCGTTTGTTATTCTCCAATCTCTCTTTTCTGATAATTCCAGTAACTTCTCCCTCTTTGTTGCACTCTTTATCTCTTGATTTTCTATCTTGTGTTCCTCTTTCCATCTCCCCCCATTTTCCTGTAATTCATGCTCTGGTATTAAAATTTTCCCCCCACATTACCCCCTTCTCCACTCTTTCGTCTTGCATATTTTCGACTTTATTTTTTAATTCTTTCATTCCTTCTCTGTTGTATATCGTTATCACTGTCATTTCTTTTCCCCTTCCATTTCCACTCTTTCGTTTCGTCCCCTAATTCCCTTATCTCTTTTCTTACTCCTCTTTCAATGTATTGATTCGGGATTATTTTCTTCTACCATCCCCACGACATCATATCCCCTTAAAAACTCCCAGAATCGAGCGTCTTTGCCAGCTTTATTGCTTTCTTCTGTCTCATTTTCTTTTTCAAGTTTTTTATCCTTTTCTCTCTTTTTTCTTATACCATTGCTCTTCCTCTCTCTTCATTTCCTCCCGTGTCCCTCCTATTTCCTTCATCATCTTCCCTTTCATTGCATCTATTTTCTCCTTTGACTCTTAGACACTCTTCTTATTTCCTCCTTTACTTCCGTTATGTTGCTCTTTATTTTTTTTTGTTCTGTCTCATTTTCTTTTTCGAGTTTTTTTTGTCCTTTTCTCTTCTTTTTTCTTATACCATTCCTCTTCCTTTCTTTTCATTTCCTCCCGTATCCCTTCTATTCCCTTCATTATTTTCCCTTTCATTATATCTATTTTCTCCTTTGACTCTTAGACACTCTTCTTATTTCCTCCTTTACTCCCGTTATGCTGCTCTTTATTTTTTTCTTCTGTCTCATTTTCTTTTTCGAGTTTTTTTATCCGTTTTCTCTTCTTTTTTCTCATACCATTCCTCTTCCTTTCTTTTCATTTCCTCCCGTATCCCTTCTATTTCCTTCATCATCTTCCCCTTCATTGTATCTAATTTCTCCTTTGACTCTTAGACGCTCTTCTTATTTCCTCCTTTACTCCTTCCATCAATTTCTCCATTGCTTTCTTCATAGCTACCCCTTCCCTCAATTCGCTCCCATGCCCCTTCTTCTATTACGTTTCTCTCATTTTTCTCTTATTGCTCCTTTTAAACACTTCAAACCACCCTTCCCTTCTTGCTCCCTACATATCTTTTCTCCCTAGACTCGTCCCCGACCGCTATGGTCTGCGCAATGTGTGTTGCCTATCCGTGTCGTGTGTCACATGGCGGTGACCTTGGAAAGTATGTTCAAGTGAAGTTCAAAGTCATCAAAGGTCAATGGTCCCATTTTTTGTTGTCATATTTAACTTCCCATGTTACCAAAGGTCAACGAGCTCATTTTGTGAAGTGTCACATTTTACTCAATGACTCCACTTTTATAATGTCCTATTTTGTTTTCAAGGTCAACACAGTTCAATGACTTCATTTCTGTCAAATTTTATTTAATTTTCAAGGTCAATAACCCAATTTTTTTCGGTGTCATATTCTGCTTTTAAAGTCAATGTCATATTTCATTTTCAAGGCAATCAGAGGTCAATGACCCCATTTTATAGTCCTAGTTCATTTTCATTGCCATCATAAGTCAATAGGCGTATTTTTGTGGTGTCCTATTTCACTTTGAAAGTTATCAAAGTTCAATGACCTCCCATTTTACGATGTCATCCTTCATTTTTTCAAAGTCACCGAAGGATAATGACCCCAGTTTTGTGGTATCATCGGTCAATTGGTGAATCAAAATGAAACGTTAAAAAACAAGATAAAGATTATAGAAAGACAAAAGAAAAGGAAAGAGAGCTATAAACGCCAAATACAGAAATCCCAACATGCCATAGACCACGTATAACTTAAAAAAGAAAGGAAAATAAAAAGATGCAAAAAAAAGTACAAAATGAAGAAAATTAGGCACTGAAAATAGACAAAACTGGGACTAAATATATGCAGAAAGGAACTGCTGAAGATGAAAAACACCTAACGATATAAAGACTAAAAGGAAGCCAAGGAAGATCAATAATAAAAACCTAGAAATCAGAAAAAAGGTAATTCAGTATCAAAACTCTTATAAAACCAAACAAAGGTACAAAATAAGGTCCAAATAGGATTGAACCCTTGAAAAGGGGAAAATAAAATGAGATTAAATTGAAGTCAATAATTTGTTACCTATACCAAAATATTCACTCCCCTTTTATGATTTGGGATAATATACTATCAAAAAAATTCCTAAAATCTATGGATTCGGTTGCATTGTTAAAAATCTCCTTTCTCAATTAATCGAAGTTTTACAATTTTACTTTCCAAAGCGTTAACGTAATTGAGTACCTAAATGGGAGATGCTACAGAAACTGAAAATTAAATTTAAAAAATAATTTTAACTACATTATGGTATATCTAAAACTGTGATTAATCTAGAATCTAAACTGTAGACCCAGTGCTCTTTCGATTACCGATTAGTTTTAAGAATTGTAATCTTCTCATAGTGCTAAAAGGTTTTGAACAGTTTTTAAAAGCCCTAAACCTCAAAGATTCTTGACGATTTTTTTAGGATTATTGACCGACTTCTACGGTTACTGGTAACAATTACAAGTGGATCGAAATGGGCCAAAACTGGACCGGACTTGGTTTCAAACCGTCACCCTATAAGTCAATAACACTCTGTATAACGGCTCTCTTGGATCATGCAAACGCCATAAATCAAGTTTACGGTCACCCAGTAAATAAAGCGACGAGAAATTGTAATGGAAATCGTTACCAATTGTTCGAATCCGTTCAAAAAAAATGAACATCGCGCCAATAAAACGCTGTTTGCATTTCTCGAAAAAAATCCGCGTCTAAGAAACTACAAACGTCCCATAAATCACTCGCGAAACGTCCCACTAATACATAAAACATAAATTGCAATCATATCACGGGCGAATGTAAAAGTCCCGCATGACTCCGCGTCCATTTTTATGAATTTCTCGGAATTCCATCTCGCGCAACTGACAAATTGCTCTCCGGAATAACGAAAATGCTTGAAATTTTACTGCCCCAAGCTCAAATCGGACCGATTGGAATTTATGGAATGTCGTTAACGCCGAACAAACGGATTAAAATCGATAAAAGTTTTCTTTACGAGCTAATAAGCTGCATGCTGCAGGTGATGATGCTCTTTTGGACTACTCGTCTTTAACCCTAAAATTATCCGTCATTTTGGGATGGCAGAACTGTTACACTCGCTTGAATACTTTCTGAAGAAGACCAAATGTTAGAATCCCATCCCCTATCTTATAGGTTCCTGTTGTCCCTATTTTTCATTATCTCTTTCCTCGTCACATTTTCTTTAATTTTGTTTCACTCTTTGCTCTAAATAGGGAGAAATGACACATATTACGTTGATCGCAATCATCCATATAAATTCTTTACATTATCGCAAACCAAAATTTATTTTGGAAAAATTGCTTAAAAGATTCTACTTTTCCTATTTCTACGTGAACCTTTTTATCTCCTTCTCTGTCGTTATCTCTACCATTCTCTGTCCGTCTTTGCATTTCTCCGTCTTTCATTCCCACCTTCGCCCTTTATCAGTCCACCTCTGCTTTATTCTGTACTCTGTCTTTTTCAGCCTGTATCTGCCTCCCTTTGCAACTGGTTTCGTGCTGCTCCTTTCTTCTCCGCTCTGTCCTTCTGTCTGTACATCTCTCTCTGCCACCCTCTGTCTTTCTTTGCCTCTCTCTGCACTTTTCTGTTTCAGGAGAATTTCCAGATGACCTAAGGAAATTTTCAGAAGTCTGATATGTGATTATCAAACGAATCAGGGAATGTCATATTCTTGAAAACCTCTAAAAGAATAAAAAAATAAAAAGAACAGGATGAAAAGAGAAACGAAGAGAGGGAGGAGAAAAAGAGAAGCCTGAGAGGAGGCAAAGAAATCAAGCGAAGCAGACAAAGCAGATGAGACAAAAAGGCAGATGTGGAAGAAAGAGCCGAAGAGTCAAAGGAATCGGAAGAATAAAGGGTAACAGGGGAGCAGGCGAAGCAGGGGGGACAAAGGAAATATAGGAGGCACAAAAGACAGAGAAAGCATAGAAGATAGAGGAGGCAGAGGAAGCAGAAGGAAAAGAAGAGGAAGAAGAGGAAGAAGAAGAGATGGATGATTAGAGCTCCCATATCTACTACATAAAGAAGTACCTCGCCACTTCGACCAATTCTTCGGATCTTTCGGATTCTTCAGTTTCATCGGATTCCTCGGATTCTTCGGATTGTTCGAATTCATCGGATTCTTTGGATTCTTCAGATTCTTGTGGTTCTTCGGATTCTCCGGATCCTGTGGATTCTTTGGATTCTTCAGATCCTTGGGGGTTCTTTGTGTTCTTCGAATTTTTCTGTTTCTTCTGATTCTTCAGATTCTTCGGATTCTTCGGATTCTTCGGCAAGAGTTGAAGAAAAGAAGAGAAAGTAATGAGAATTCCTCGGATTCCCGGGGTTCTTTTTTTCTTCGGGTTCTTCGGATTCTTCGAATTTTTCGGATTTTTCGGATTCATCAAATTTTTCGGAATCTTTGGAATCTTCGGATCTTTCGGATTCAGAGTTGAAGGAGAGAATAGAAAGTAATGATAATTCCTCGGATTCCTCGGTTTCCTCGGGTTCTTCGGATTCCTCAAATTCTTCGAATTTTTTGGATTCTTCGAATCCTTCGGGTGCTTCGGTTTCTTCGGATTTTTCTTTTTCTTCGGATTCTCCAACAAGAGTTGGAAAGGAGAAGGGAATGTAATGAGAATTCCTCGGTTTCTTCGGATTCTTTGGGTTCCTCGGATTCTTCAGATTCTAAGAATTCTTCGGATTCCTTGAATTATTCGGATCTTTCGGATTCAGAATTGGAGAGAAGAGAAAGTAATGAGAATCCCCCGGATTCTTTGGGTTCCCCGGCTTCTTCGGGTTCCTCGGTTTCTTCGGGTTCTTCAGATTCTTCGAATTTTTCGGATTTTTCGGATTCATCAAATTTTTCGGAATCTTTGGAATCTTCGGATCTTTCGGATTCAGAGTTGAAGGAGAGAATAGAAAGTAATGATAATTCCTCGGATTCCTCGGTTTCCTCGGGTTCTTCGGATTCCTCAAATTCTTCGAATTTTTTGGATTCTTCGAATCCTTCGGATGCTTCGGTTTCTTCGGATTTTTCTTTTTCTTCGGATTCTCCAACAAGAGTTGGAAAGGAGAAGGGAATGTAATGAGAATTCCTCGGTTTCTTCGGATTCTTTGGGTTCCTCGGATTCTTCAGATTCTAAGAATTCTTCGGATTCCTTGAATTATTCGGATCTTTCGGATTCAGAATTGGAGAGAAGAGAAAGTAATGAGAATCCCCCGGATTCTTTGGGTTCCCCGGCTTCTTCGGGTTCCTCGGTTTCTTCGGGTTCTTCAGATTCTTCGAATTTTTCGGATTTTTCGGATTCATCAAATTTTTCGGAATCTTTGGAATCTTCGGATCTTTCGGATTCAGAGTTGAAGGAGAGAATAGAAAGTAATGATAATTCCTCGGATTCCTCGGTTTCCTCGGGTTCTTCGGATTCCTCAAATTCTTCGAATTTTTTGGATTCTTCGAATCCTTCGGGTGCTTCGGTTTCTTCGGATTTTTCTTTTTCTTCGGATTCTCCAACAAGAGTTGGAAAGGAGAAGGGAATGTAATGAGAATTCCTCGGTTTCTTCGGATTCTTTGGGTTCCTCGGATTCTTCAGATTCTAAGAATTCTTCGGATTCCTTGAATTATTCGGATCTTTCGGATTCAGAATTGGAGAGAAGAGAAAGTAATGAGAATCCCCCGGATTCTTTGGGTTCCCCGGCTTCTTCGGGTTCCTCGGTTTCTTCGGGTTCTTCAGATTCTTCGAATTTTTCGGATTTTTCGGATTCATCAAATTTTTCGGAATCTTTGGAATCTTCGGATCTTTCGGATTCAGAGTTGAAGGAGAGAATAGAAAGTAATGATAATTCCTCGGATTCCTCGGTTTCCTCGGGTTCTTCGGATTCCTCAAATTCTTCGAATTTTTTGGATTCTTCGAATCCTTCGGGTGCTTCGGTTTCTTCGGATTTTTCTTTTTCTTCGGATTCTCCAACAAGAGTTGGAAAGGAGAAGGGAATGTAATGAGAATTCCTCGGTTTCTTCGGATTCTTTGGGTTCCTCGGATTCTTCAGATTCTAAGAATTCCTCGGATTCTTTGAATTATTCGGATCTTTCGGATTCAGAATTGGAGAGAAGAGAAAGTAATGAGAATCCCCCGGATTCTTTGGGTTCCCCGGCTTCTTCGGGTTCCTAGGTTTCTTCGGGTTCTTCAGATTCTTCGGATTCTTCGGATCCTTCGGATCTTTCTGATTCTTCGAATTCATCGGATCATTTGGATTCTTCAGATTCTTGTGGTTCTTCGGATTCTTTGGATTCTCTCTTTGGATTCTTTGGATTCTTTGGATTCGTTGGATTCTTTGGATTCTTTGGATTCTTTGGATTCTTTGGATCCTTTGGATTCGTTGGATTCGTTGGATTCTTTGGATTCTTTGGATTCGTTTGATTCTTTGGATTCTTTAGTTTTTTGGGGTTCTTCGGATTCTTCGGATCCTTTGAGTTCGAATTTTTCTGTTTCTTCTGATTCTTTGGATTCTTCGGATTCTTCGGACTCTTCCGATTCTTCGGATTCTTCGGCAAGAGTTGAAGAAGAGAAGAGAAAGTAATGAGAATTCCTCGAATTTCTCGGGTTCTTTGGTTTCTTCAGGTTCTTCGTCAAAAGTTGAAGGAAAGAACAGAAAGTAATGAGAATTCCCCGGGTTCCTCGGTTTCTTCGGGTTCTTCGGATTCTTCAAATTTTTTGGATTCTTCGAATCCTTCGGTTTCTTCGGATTTTTCTTTTTCTTCGGATTCTTCAACAAGAGTTGGAAAGGAGAAGAGAATGTAATGAGAATTCCTCGGTTTCTTCGAGTTCCTCGGATTCTTCAGATTCTACGAATTCTTCGGATACTTTGAATTATTCGGATCTTTCTGATTCAGAATTGGAGAGAAGAGAAAGTAATGAGAATCCCCCGGATTCTTTGGGTTTTTCGGCTTCTTCGGGTTCCTAGGTTTCTTCGGGTTCTTCAGATTCTTCGGATCCTTCGGATCTTTCTGATTCTTCGATTTCATCGGATCATTTGGATTCTTCAGATTCTTGTGGTTCTTCGGATTCTTTGGATTCTTTCTTTGGATTCTTTGGATTCGTTGGACTCTTTGGATTCTTTGGGGTCTTTGGATCCTTTGGATTCGTTGGATTCTTTGGATTCTTTGGATCCTTTGGATTCTTTGGATTTTTTGGATTCTTTGGATTCTTTGGATTCTTTGGATTCTTTGGATTCATTGGATTCTTCGGATTCTTCTGATTCTTCGGACTCTTCCGATTCTTCGGATTCTTCGACAAGAGTTGGAGAGGAGAAGAGGATGTAATGAGAATTCCTCGGTTTCTTTGGATTCGTTGGATTCTTTGGATTCTTTGGATTCTTCGGATTCTTCACACTCTTTGAATTCTTCGCATTCTTTATATTCTTCGCATCTTTCGGATTCGGAATTGGAGAGAAGAGAAAGTAATGAGAATTCCTGGGATTCTTTGGGTTCCTTCTTTTCTTCGGGTTCCTCGGTTTCTTCGGGTTCTCCGGACTTTTCGGATTATTCGGATTCTTCGGATTTCCGGATTCTTCGGAAATAGTTGAAGGAGAAAAGAGAATGTAATGAGAAGGGAAACAGGAGGAAAAAAGAAGAGAGTGAAGAGAAAAAGAAGAGGAAGCAGCGCAAGAAGAAGCAGCCGACGCTGCAAAAACCAGAAGTGGCAGAAGAAGTTGAAAATTCAGAAGAAGCAAAGGAAGAAACGGAAGCTGGCAGCAGGCGAGGCAGAGTAAGCAGTGGCGCCGGAGGGGGCACAAATAGCAGAAAAAGCAGAGGAGGCCGAGAGGGCAGATTTGCTTATATAGCAAAATATCGGTCTTTTATGAACACTGCCGAACGCTCTCGACTGTTCTAGAACAAATCACATCATATTTCCCTGAAAGATTCGTAACATCCGCTGTCGTTCTTTATCGCCGATGACTAATCTTTCATAGCGCCTCAATGTGTATCGGGAATTCTGGAATATTGGCTGCAATTTTCAGATAACCTAAGGAAAAGTTCAGAAAGCTGTGAAGGAAATCGGAAGAACCTCAGGGAAATTCACATTCAGGACAACCTGAAGAAGAAAAAGAAGAGAAGAAGAAGGAGGATGCGGAGGAGGAGGAACAAGGGGAGAGGGAGAGGAGAAAAAAGAGAAGCAGTACTGGAATCGGAGCAAGCAAAAGATGCGGACGACGCTGAACAGACAAAAAACTTGAAGCGCTGCAGTTGTCGAAGTTCAGAGGCAGCAGAGGAGGCATATGAATCAGAGGAGGTAGAAGGGGCGGAGCAGGTAAATGAGGAGGAGAAGCATAAGACGCAGAGGATCATAGAAACAGAAGAAGGAGAGAAGGACTTTCAGTTTATTCAGATCTGTTAAATCCCTTAGATCTCTGAGATCTTCCAGATCCTTCAAATCCTTCAGACAAATCGGACTCATATGATCCTTCAGGTCCTTCAGATCTTCAGATATTCTTGTTGCTTAAAATTTGATAGCCACAATCGTGTCCGTGTGAAATCTTTGCTTATTTTCAAGAAATATTACGCACCTAGTGTCAGTAACGTACAAATATATCATTTGATAGGTGTTAATGTTAAATAATGGTTTTCATTGGATGGTATGACGTCAATATACTGAAAATAGATGACCAATGAGATTTGTCCATAAATAAAATATAAGTTATAGGTACTACAAGTCGTGTGGCAGTGACTGTGGCATCAATCATTGCCTACACTAACAATTGACATTCGGAGCAAACTCTTTTTAGTTCTTGCGATTTCATTTAAGTGCAGAAGAGAATCGAAGTGCCCAAAGTGGCATATTATAGTGTACAGTACAATAACCTTAAGCTATTACTCGATTTGCGATTTGTCGTTGATTTACAATTCAGCGTCGCGCGCCACTGGTGTTCCGCAGTGCTCGGGGCGTGGACAACTGCTACTCAAAAAAAAATATTCAAATCGCCGCGCTTTATGGCGATCAATTCTCGACTAGTTTTTATGCGAGTTATTGGTTTAAAAAAAAGGATCGGCGCGTTTCCTTCTTGAGCCAAACCCGAAAAGATTCTTCCTGTCGCGACTATCACCGAATTTCTTAGAAGACCCGCCCGGGCATCTCAAATATTCGCTTTAAAGTAATTAAAAAACGAAGAACTCCTTTTACATTGTGTAGACACTGATATGTCAGTTTTTGGTCACATAATTAGCTGTACATTAAGCGAATTCACGATACATCATCGCGTCTCCGTCTCTCTCTCGCTCGCGCGCATTCTTATCCTTTTCGGGCGACAATCTAAGACTAATTCGTAACTAACTAATGCTTGGGGTAATTACGCGCGTCAGAGCAATTAGAGCGTGGGCATTTTGGGCGATTTTCGCCTAGGTTTCCGAGTTTTTTGCCGGACGGCCATTGAAGCGTAAACGTGTAGCACATGAAAATTGGGACGCGGACTAATTACAGTTGTTCTGTATTGTTTTTAGGGATAATGAGGGGCGGTTCTTAAGACATACCGTTCACCGGTGGCCATATTTTATATTTATAATTAATTGCGGGAACGCCTCGAATTGATGGCCGAAAATTTTCGGTGCACCGGGGCCGGCGTACCAATTTTATGTTAATCGCCGACAATTGCGCTTTATCCGCGCCCGGTATTTCGGCAAAAAAAGCGGCCACCGACGAGTTCGCTAGGGGGTACAAAAATGCGGGAGAAATTTCTCTGTAGCGTTCAGGTAAGCCGCTTCCAGTTTTGGAATCTATGGAATTGGCTGGGTTTTTCGGAGAGGGTCCATTTTGTAGGTGACCAAGTTGACTATGTCTGGTAAAAGCAACCAATCTGAAACTACTGCTAGCTGTCCGAAATTACAAAAAGCCCCTCATTAAAATATACGAAATATTCCTTCGCCCCATAAGTATTAGGGCACCTCCCGAAGGTATCTTTATTTCGCCTTTCCCTCCAGGTGTTGCCGATGCAGAAAATGGGATAGAAGTAGGTAGTAAGTCATGAAGTAAATATTTTGAAAAATGTAAGAGAAGCTAAGGCGAAGACAAACAGACGGACAGAGGAAGAGAGCGTCCGCCCGTTCGTCTGTCGTAAGCTCCAGCTACAGTCTTCAAAATATTTACTCTGTTTTCACATTTCAGCTAAACAAGTTGATGATGAAAGCGCATTTTTGGTAATGCAGATCAGTTTCATTAGCAAAGTTTAAAATTATCGATCTCACAAGTAATCTAACTCAAAATAGACTAGAGCCTGCACATCTATAACAGCATCAGAAAGCTTTTAATGAAAATTTAAAGTCTCTAGCAATTGTAATTGCTGAGATCTCAGCCCGACAGCCAGCCAGCCAGCCATAACGAATATAATAGCGTATTTTTTCAAAAATGCGCAAATAATTAAGTTGTTATACTGGTGGCGCTATCTAACGATAAAATTGTAGCACTTCCGAAAACCATATCGAATTTGAAGAAACTTTTCAAGTCTCTAGCTATTGTAATTGCTGAGATCTCAGTCGGACAGCCAACCAGCCATAACGAATATAATAGCGTATTACTTTTCCAAAAATGCGATAAAAAGTCTAACCGCAATCGTATGTTTAAACCGGTATTTACCCCGAGGAAACCGACCGAACTTAATAAATTTAAGTAAGGGATTAAGTGCGTCGAACACTTAAATAAAACAGAATATACGCAGAAAGAATGGAAGACACCATAAAATGTATCGAAGAGACTGATAAAATTGGAAGGAATAGAAGACAATGAAAAACTGTGGAAGGTCGAGACGGCGAGAAAATACCGAAAGAAAACTAAGGAGCAGAGAAAATCGCGCACCATCAGGAAACTAAGGAACATAGAAAAAACAAAGAATCTGAAGAGCCGACTGAGATAGAAAGGTCGCGGAGATACTGGAGAAAGGAGTCGAATAATCCAAGAGACAAAAGAAACCAAAGGAAAAGGAAACAAAAAAGGCACCGGAACGATCCAAAAAACAGTGGTAGGATAAGCAAGAACCCAATCCAAGGAGTAGACAAAAGCAAAGATAAATAAAAATCCCAAAAAACGAAGCTCCTGGGTATGGCTATATAGCTATAGCATGTGCAGAAAACCAAACGGAGATGTCAAAAGGGTCTTCTTTATTTTTTGGCCTACATTGCCAATTTACAAACTCCGACCTACAAATTTGATAAAGAATCCACGTGAAAAATTTAATCGTAATCGGTACAATCGTACACGGACGGACGGACGGACGGACAGACGCCGCAGATAATAAACTCGCTAGAAGCTCGTTAATAAAGTCGTAGAAGGAAACGAATACATTGAATTAGAACGAAACAGAATTAAGATATAAAGATTCGCATACGATTTTCAGTAGAGGAACTTTTTGCCACTCGCTCGCATTCGGAAACCAAACTTTTAATCCGACTCATATTCAATAGCACTAATCCATGATCTCGTAGAAATCTTTATATCTTAATTCTGTTTCGTTCGATTGACATCGCTCTCTTTTTGTTCATTTGACCATTTGACCATTTGTCCATTTGACCATTTGACCATTTGACCATTTGACCATTTTGACCATTTGACCATTTGGTTGCTTGGTTATTTGATTATTTGATTATTGGATTATTTGATTATTTGATTATTTGATTATTTGATTATTTGATTATTTGATTATTTGATTATTTGGTTATTTGGTTATTTTGTTATTTGGTTATTTGATTAATTGATTATTTGATTATTGATTATTTGATTGTTTGATTATTTGATTATTTGATCATTTGATTATTTGATTATTTGGTTATTTGATTACCTATTTGATTATTTGACTCTTTTAATAGTTGCCTATTTGACTTTTTGCCTATTTGCCTATTTGACTATTGGACTATTTGACCATTTGACCATTTTGACCATTTGACCATTTGGTTGTTTGATTATTTGATTATTGGATTATTTAATTATTTGATTATTTGGTTATTTGATTACCTATTTGATTATTTGACTCCTTTAATAG